TTTGCAGGAAAGTTTAATTTTAGTTTCATTTTACTTATGTGTTCTGAGGGGTTTTATTTTAAATGTTTTGTTGTAACTTAGCTTAAAAACATTCTCCCTTTTTGTGCTGAAATAGGATTTCTGAGATGATTGAGCCTCAGATCCTCTTGCCGGCTTGCTGGTGACAAAAGAGAGTGGCCATGGTTGGTGAGAGGGAGCGGCTGCAGCAGGTGATGGACACCACTAATAAAATTAAAAATTGGAAGTCAGGGGGCCTGGCCTGGATTGGAGGCCTTGATGGTAAATCGTGGGGCCGGGCCCCAAGAAGCCCCACTGTAGCTATGGGCCTGCACTGCACTGACTCTTAGCCAAATGCAGCCTAGTTCCACTATGGTAAATATTTCTAGCAATACAGAACCCCCAAACTAGGAAGACACCGGAGGATTCAGTTAGCATCACAAGGAATCTAACAGTTGTAAAGTCAAATCATGATTGGTTTTCTAGAAGGGTCAATAGAATACAGATCTGGAGGGTTTCCTTTATTCTCTCTGTCAGGTTATATTTCTGGTGGCCCATTCACAGTCAGTGTTACAAGTTACCAAGTGATGGTCATGTGTTAACCAGCTCATAGTAATGAGTGTACTGTGAACTGCTAAATTTACTGCTGTCAGAATCAAGTGCCTTGGACTATGTCCAGGAACTTAGGTTAGCTCCCAGTGAATAAAAATGCCAACAGCATGAAAAGAAAGAGTAGTCATGACAATACCCCACCTCCTCAGTTTATAACAGATGAACTATCCAAGTAGGGGCTTGACACATTTCTGGTTCAGATATATTTGTGAAGCAATACATGAATGAGTAGGGTTGGAGTGCCAAGGGAGGGAAGGATTATCTTTAAAAACATTACTTAGGAGTAAAGCAATATTAGGAGTTAAAGCAAAGTAAATATAATTAAATGAAAGAAATTCTAAGCATGACTATAAAGTACCATCTGTTGCTTCTGGTTGCTTATTAGCTTATAAAACATCAAAATGGGGAAAGGGTGATAGAAATGACTGTGAGTCAATCACATCAGTCTAAGTAAAATAAGATCAAGGCATTAGTCTTCTATGGACTCTATTAGCAAGAGGATTAAATATACAACAAACCACAATAATAACATGGGGTTAATTTCCTCATTGCTTTACTAGTGTCACGGTGGGGTTAAATCTGTTTCCAGCATGCAGATGGAAATTTCATTAACATTCATGAGGAATAAGCAAATAAAAGGGATTTCTCAGTAAAGCTGATTTGAAAGGTGATGTTTTTCATGAAGTGTGCAAACATCCCACCTTTGTCTTTGGCAAACAGATTTTTCAGGTTTTGGTATTGTTACTGTACAAATCATTGTAAGTTTGTATGCTATATGAAGCAAGATCTGTCATAAATGTATTTCAGCTTTCTTTTTTTTTTTAAGTACTATTTTCTATCTTTGGCTTAACATGAAACCAGCATTTTTCTGTATGGGTGCAAATAATGGTTACAGTCTAGTGCTGAGTTTAGTGCTTTGGATCTCACCTTGGGGGAAAGTTCAGTTCTAAATGTTTTAAATAAATAAGTGTTCACTTGCAGCTATTGCATACTGTGATTTGTCCTTTCATTGGTTCTGCAAATTTTGGCAGTGTGTGTGTGTGTGTGTGTGTGTATAAACTGAGTGCATGGCTTGGCCCACTTTGAAATCTCCAAGTGCCTGAGAGCTTTCCTGAACCTCTTTATATGATGGATACATGGATGTATAGGAAAAGGCTAATGTGAGAGGACCAGGCTGTGCATAAGTTGTCCTGGCATGTCAGGATCCACCAGTACTCACACCCACTGGTACCCATACATGGAACTGTGGATGGGACATCCTCAGACAAGGAGACCCTCGCTAAAGGGCCTAATACCTAGGAACAGAAGAAGAGCTCAGCTGGATTAGACAAACAGTCCAACCATAGCTGTCAACTAGATGCCACTACAGGCCCAGCAAATTTATGATTTGTTCATGTTGTGAGCTTCCCTGAGCCCAGTGTGGGGTAGGGTAGAATATAAGTGCAATAGATAAATAAATAATATCCAGAGAGAGATTGTTTTGGAATATGGCAGATCCATTTAGTCATCATGGTCACTTGCCCTTGTTGGATCTCTCATACATGAAATACTTGAGGAGTCAAGGAGAGATAGTACTCTCTGAAGATGACTCCAGAGCAGCAGCCTTGGACAAGATTCTATCCTTGGAATTCATGGAATCTGAAGTCCATTCCTCTGGCCTTCCATTTCAGGATACCCTCCTCCCCCGTGCACACACACATAATCACCTCCTGGACCCTAAAAATAGGGATAGCAGCATACCCAAACAGAACCCTGCATCAGAAGGTGGCACATTCCCCCAGCAAAACAAAGTCTCCTTTCTCAAAGCATTACTGAGGAACAGTTCCTAATCTAACTGTGATGAACCAGAAAGGTGGGACTGCAAGGCAGGATACAAACCCCCGTGTGGAACAAGTTGGTATAACACCTCTTTCTGTCCACTTTCTTTTCCCCATCTTTTTATTACCCGGCTGGACAGCTCTCCTGCTGTTTCATAAATCATGACCTGGGTCCAGCTTCTTGTTCTGCTGGACAGCTCCCTTGATGGGGAATCCAAACATTTCAGCTCTACTCTTTGCAGACTGGAATATGGCCACCATTTCCATGGTTACAGATACTGAAATGGCTGCTAGCTTGCTGCAAATTAATTAGTGCTCCTGTTTCTCAAAGGGATTGTTTGGAGGAGTAATGTGAACTGGGTTAAAATAGATGGAAAAATGAAATACAGTGTAAGAACATCAGCCCTGACCTGGATAGCCCAGGCTAGGCCGATCTTGTCAGCTCTCAGAAACTAAGCAGGTTAGTACTTGGATGGAAGACGACCAGTGAAGTCCAAGGTCACTATGCAGAGGCAGGCAATGGCAAACCTCTGTTCCTCTCTTGCCTTAAAAACTGTACAGGGTTGCTAGAAGTTGCCTGCAACTTGACGGCACTTCCCACCACCATGACCACTCCTATAATAAGGATATCAGACAGAACTGCAAACAGATGATGCATATATGTCATTTTCAGTTTCTGGTCTTTTTTCTGCATTGGCACTGCCAAAACATAAAAATGTGTTCTGCCTTTCCGTTGTATCTCTGTTAATTAGTACCTTGATGTGAATATACAATAACCTTAGAAGCATAATTTACAGCTCATGATTGCAGCATTCTAGCAGTTTCCGATTATGATACTATTGGAAGAGCTCAGTTTTGAAATTATGAGTAAATGGCATTAAGCCACGGTGAATTAAAACAAGTCTAAGGTTCTTGAATCTGTGCAGGAAGGGAGGTTACAAACAAGATATTATTTTTGCTGGTAGTGGTCATGTTCTCTAAAGAATGTCTGTTGGGGGAAAAGTGGAAGGCATACTTGAGAGCTCCAAATATTAACTGGCCTGTGAAGTGTTGGTGGCACTTTTCAGTTTAAATAGACAATCCGGGGGGTGGGGAATTAGTTTCTGACATATTGATTAACAGCAGGCAAATTCACTCTAGCAAAGATGTGCAGAAAAAGAGAGACAGTTGTACTAGTTTACAAAGGTTTATGATTTAGTACGAGTGGGAGAAGAACATATTATAGTGAGCCTGGAACTCTGTAATAGGAAAACTGATATCAAACACCAGGCAGAGCATTACATGTGGACCGGTTGGTGTGCTACACTGAGGCTGGTAGGTCAGTTGCGCAGGACTGAGCTGTCAGATAAAGCTACCTCAGGATGAAGCATCTCTCCAGAGTTTCTTTTACTACGTGGGTTCTTCCTTATTTTTTGCAGAAAAGATGAATAGCGGGGGGGGGGGAGCCCCTTTGTGTAGAAAACTGGAGAAAGCATCATCAGTGTAACTAAGAGATACAGGCTACAATCCAGTACTGAGTTCCATACATAAAGCCTTTTAATATCAATCAGAATTTACGGTGCCATCCTAAGCAGAGTTATAGCCTTCTTAACCAATTAATTCCAGTGAACTGAGAAGGAGATAACTCCATTTGGGAGGCATTCTTACCTTAGATAATGATGTTGATTATGGCTGTTTGTTACTTAACTGGGGGGGGGAGTATTTCTGGACAATGTTTTCCTTTTAGTTTTCTGATCCCTTTTCGGGGGATTTTATGATGTTGGCTGGTTATTTTTGTTTTGTTGTTGTACTTTGCTTTATATGTAGATTAGAACATGAAAAGTAAAATGCATGGGCCAGTCAACATTAAAGCTCTGTTTATGCCCTGAACATGGTTAGACTGTGCTGAATATGATTCCCCCCTAGCACCATTTAAGCATTTATTTATTTCAAGGAAGTTAAATGTTGCCTATTGCAGCCAATGGGACTTAGATACACTTTGTTGGGATCATGCTCTCAATTGTTAAATATGTCGCTACATTTCTACAGAAATCCAGTTTTTAAAACACTTAACAAAAATGAAAGAGTTTAAAGTTTTTGTTGGTTCGATGCTACCAACATTAAAGAGAGATCACAAACAGACAGTTGCTTCAGCACTCTTGGAAGGTGTTTTGGAGAGCTTTGAAAGGGGACAAAATTTTGTAGTTGCTCTTTTACTCTGGTTGTCTGAAAATATATGAATGGCTTTATTACCATCAATTAGAGCTCAACAACATAGTTGCGGTCTCTGTCTGGATTCCTGCAATCAATTTCTACAGAAGGACTTAAACATTTGGCTCTTGCTGTGCAATGATTTCACCTCCCAATAAAACACCTATTTGTACACAACAAAGCTATTAACAAGCCATGTTGAAGCTGCACGAGTAGAAAGTACATTACTCCGATAAATTAACAGGCTCTGCAAAATAATTAAACCTCTGTTAGATGCATCTCACTTAGGCAAGGTTGTTTTGCAGAGAAGAAGGATACCTTTTCATTACTCCCCATGACCTGTAATGGTTGCTAATTTATAATCTCCTTATTTATTCCCGGCAGGGTGATATCCAGCAGCTGTTGATTATCAGTGATCCCAGAGCAGCCTACGACTATTGTGAGCATTACAGCCCCGACTGTGATTCCCCTGTGCCCAATGCTCCTCAGGCTCAAGAGCCTCACGTTGATGAGGTGAGTAATGAGTCATGTTTTACCAGATTTATTGCACTTTAATGGGTGTGCTGGAGTCTCTCTATTGCAGGAGCATTTAGTTACAGCAAAGAGAACGCCTTCCGTACTAATATACATGCTTACCTATCCTTTTTCAAATGTTCTTTTATTGTATTTAACACTTCTTTCTATGCATTTTTTGCAGCAAAAGAACATTTATATATTTCAATTTATGTTTGGGGGAATTACATTTCCAGCATGCATGTCACACAATAACATGGCAGGCCATTTTGCTCAGTATGCAGGGCCAGTTCTCTGCCTAAGCAACTGAAGCAAGCCCCTGAGGAGCTGGCAGTGCTGCTTGGGCTGGCATTGTGGGAGAAGGTGATAAGCATGGCTTATGCACATTATTGCCTCCTGGACCTGCACTGCTGGCAGCTGGATTTGAGATGGACCTTTGAGGCTTTGGCAGACTCAGTTTGCTTGCAGAATGCCTGGCCAAATCCAACCATTGGCTCTTCTGTTGTGTTTGCTGATGCGCTAGGATCTTCATGGCATTTTTTTTTTTGCAACACTTGCCTACCCCTTTTATATATTGTTTCTGTAAAAGGGTACAATTCTATAAATGAATCTGTGCATAATTTAAATCAGAAAAACACATTTTTTTATTAGTTAAATCACGTGTACATTTGGAATCCTATTGCCCTAAGTCTTAGTTATAAGACTAAGGGTCCCTTTTTAAAAAATAAGCCGGTTATTCCACCCACCCCCAGCATAATAACTTCCCAGACCATTGTTTTTTAGATGGTTAAGTGGTTATGCCTTCCAGCACCCAGTATATATGATTTTTGCTTTTGGTATTTGATATTTTCTGGTGTATGTTTTTCCTCATTGCTGAACACACAGAGAAATCATACATGTTGCTTGGGTGGCATAGGGATGCGTACTCAGATACATCCGGTCTGAAAATGTACTTGGGTATCGGAAGCAGTATTTGGAATTCTCAGGAATACCAGTATTTGGATCCCATATATTTCTGGAAACATTTGTCCTGCCCACAGACAGAGGCTCATAGCTGGTGAGAGCCTGGGCTGATCTAGCAGAGCTGTTGATCTGGCTGGCTCCTTCCCTGGTCCAATTCTCTTGAAAATTGTGGGATTGTTTAGTGGATAGGCAGCACTAGCTCCATTGCAGTTTTGCTGTCATTTTGTTTGAAAGTAGCCCCTCTAGCTGAAAGGGTACCCTGTAGGGAATAATTCTGGAATCCTGGAAAATCTTGAACTTGATTCTCAAAATGGTACCATGGCACCTGGCTACCATTGATTTATGCTCTTCCCGATATTTGAATCTGAAAAATACCATTGTCCCCCTCCCTCCCAGGTACATATCCCTGTCAGCTACTAGTGCTAACTTATGGCTGCAGGAGTGGGGTTGTGTGTGTTTCTTAAGCTTTTACTGGTGGGAATTATGAAGTAACAGCAGAGGATGCAGGGGTAGATGGGGCAGCTCTTTATAGGCCACTGGCTGACTGGCCAACATCATGGCCTGACCTCATTGACCTTTGCTTCCACTGCTGCCTCATTCTTTTATTACTTAGTGGCTGTGACTGATTACCACCCACTGTATGGCCTCACCAACGTCTCCTGATACAGTGGGTCACTGGGAAATGTTTCATTAACCTTTCACAGTAGCCCTGTGCAGATGTTATTAAGTTGCTATGAACACTATACAATCACTGCACAGTGTACATATGACTTTTTTTTTGTAAGTGCATTGAGTAATTCTTATGCTACATTCAACATGTGTACAGCCAAATGTGTGATTTATCCTGGGATTGGTCCCTGGTTTTGTTTTTAAAGTGAATGTATGTTGGCATTTCCTTACAAACATTTGTATGTGTTTACATGCAGGATGAACATGGGTTCACTGTAACATGTGTACAGGGGCAAGCTTTAGCTGTACTGAGCAACAGTTTTTCTGTAGGTGTTATGAAGTGGGGGGGATATGGTACCCTAAAAATGCAGTATCACAGCTATTTTTAAATTAAAATATGAATTAACTCCATGCTTTGGTATTAAATCAGCTGGAAGGGAGTGACCAGAAGCTTCTGTTTTTTTCTCTGTTTTGATTCCACCCCCCAAGAGTCAAGAAACAAGCAATTTCCATATTGTAGATCACTGCACTAGACATTTTAGCCTCTCATACTTGTGGAAGTAAAACATACATCTACAAAGTGTCAGTCTTGAATTCATTTATGGTTAGGGTTGCCAGGCCTGGCAACCAATGGGAAGCTGGAGGGCAGTGATGGGAGGGGGCAGCCATAGGTGATTGATATGATGTCACTTCTGGGAAAACATCATGCCTCTGTAGAAATTCCCAGCAGTTCCTAGAGATAACTGATGTCACTACCCAGGAAAACCCATAGGTGATGTCAGTTCTTTCTTGGAATTGCCAGGAACTTTGTGGTTTTACCATGGAGTTTCAGTGATTCCCAGAGAGGCATGACATCGCTCCTGAGTTTTTCCCAAAAGCGATGTCACACAGTGGCCATTTTTAATTTTATTTTTCTCCTGCTGCTCCTCAGAGCTGCAGCAGGAAATAGGAGTTGGGGCGGAGGATCCCCTGTCCCCACCTGGGGAATGGCAACCCAATACCTATTGATTTCTCTATGTTTACTTTCCTTTTTGGTGGCAGAAGGATTTCCTGAATTTATTTGCTTTCTTTATTTCATATCCTTCAGCACAATCATGGATACCAAGGCAGCTAAAAACTGAAAACAGAGCAGTACAGAAGGACACTATCATAGGGATAAAAACAGACCTAAAGCACATATATATAATAACAGAGAAACATCAATTTTCAAAGAATACTGAATACTGAATAGCCGAAGAATAGCTAACCTGCTACCTGGGTGCCAATAGGCAGCCCCACCCCTGTACTATGTGGCCTTAGGTAAGGGAACCTTCGGGTCAGAGCAGTATATAAAGCGAATGTAATAAATAATAATATAATAATAATTTAAAACATAGGGCAGGGAAGAGGAATTATTGAGGGAATGCCAGATAAAACAAAAAATCGACTTCGCCCACTGGCGGACATCAGTGATGGAAGGGGACAGATGAATATCTCTGAAGGAGGGAGTTCCACAGTCTTCTCACAATAACCGAAAAGGACCTCTCTTGGGTTTCCACTTGCCCAACCTTATAAGGGTGAGGCCTCCAAAGCAGGGTCTCCAAAGATGATGGTAATGCTTATGTAGATTTTTATGAAACTTGGCAGACCTTAAGCTATGCTGCCCCCAGACAATATGGAACTTTAAAAGTCAACACCAGCATGCTGAATCAGGCCTGGAATAGGGTTTCAAGGTCCCCCAGCCATGCAGTGGGGAATGGGGAATTAGGGGTGCCAGATCCAAGTTGAGAAACTCCTGGAGATTTGGAGATGGAGCCTGGGGAGGACAGGAACCTCAGTGGGGCACAATGCCATACCCTCCAAAGCATCATTTTTCTCCAGGAGAACTGATCTCTGTAATGTGGAGATGAACTTTAATTCTGGGGGATCCCCAGGTCCCACCTGAAGGCTGGCATCAGTAGCCAATGAAGTTAATGAAGATGAGCCAAGACCTGAGTAATATGGTCCCTACAATCCATTCCTATCAAAATCCTGTTTGTAGCACTCTGTACCACCTGAAGTTTCCAAAGAGTTTTCAAGTGCAGCTCAGTAATCTAATGTAGATGTTAACCCAGGTGTGTACCCCAGTGCCCAGGAAACACTGCAGCTGGTTTACCGGTTGAAATGGGCAAAAGGCACTTCTGGCCACAGCTGCCACTTGTTTAACCAGAACAAGGGCTGAGTCCTGCAGCATGTCCAAGCTGCTCTTCCAATGGGAGTGCACGCCCGTCCAGAACAAGGTGTGTCCTGCTCACCAGCAGCACGTCCATCTTGTCAGGATTAAGCTTCAATTTATTAGTCTGTATCCACCTCAAAAGTACCTCCATGTGCCAATTCAGGGTTTCTACAGACTCCCTGGGATCAGCTGGAAGCACAAGATAGAGCTGAGTGTCATCTACATATTGGTGACTGCTCAGCTGAAATCTCTGGATGAACTCACCGGGGGTTTCATATAGATGTTATAGTGTACAGGGACAGGATGGTGTAGTGGTTAGGAGTGCAGATTCTAATCTGGGAGAACTGGGTTTGATTCCCCACTCTGCCACATGCAGCTGCTGGTGTGACCTTGGGTCAGTCACAAGTTCTCTCAGAGCTGTTCTATCATGAACAGTTCTTAAAAGAGCTCTCTCAGCCCCACCTACCTCACAGGGTGCCTGCTGTGGGGAGGGGAAGGGAAAGGAGATTGTAAGCTGCTCTGAGACTCCGAGTGAAGGGCAGGGTATAAATCCAATCTCTTCGTCTTCATAGTTCACAGAAACGAGCAGTACTCCTCTAGCACCACCTTTTCAAACCTACCTTCCAGGTAGGTCACAAACCACCAGAAAACAGTACTTCCCAGTCTCAACTCCAAAGGCAGTCAAGAAGGATACCATAATCAGTGGTACTGGAAGCCACTGAGAGGTCCAAGAGAATAAGTAGGGTTGCACTCCCCTTATCCATATCTTGATGTTCGTTGTCCACCAGAGTAGCCAAAGCTGTTTAAGTCCCAGGACTGAAGCCAGTCTGGAAATGATCCAGATAATTCACTTCATCCAGGAAGCCCTGGAGTTGTCCAGTTACCATCTTTCAGTCACTTTGCTCAAGAATGGCACATCTGAAACTTGTCGATAATTATTCGAATGCCCTGAAATGAGGGTAGGTTTCTTTAGGAGTGGATGTACCGCCACCTGTTTCCGGGCTGAGGCAACTACCAGTTATCTCCAGGAGTCACTAACTACCTCTAGGACCCAGTAAGCCAGCTTCTTCTCTTCAGCAAATTTAGGCAACCAGGAAAGGCAAGGATCATAGGAGCAGGTGATGGGCTTCAAACATCCAAGGATCATGTCCTCATTTGCGGGCTGAATAAATTG